TGGCATGAAGGTGCAAGACAAGATGAGGTAGGCAGGCGATACATCAATCGAGAGATACCCGACTGATATCCGAACTATGCATCCGTAATAAGGGCTGTGGTTACCTTGAGGCAGGTGAGATAGAGTGAGTTGAGGTTACGTGGGAAAAAAAAACGCCAAGCCAAGGCAGCGGAATGTGGTGATGATGCGTGTGTGGACTGGGGTTGCGCCGATGCCAGGTCTCAGAAACGCAGCCCGCCCCGGCCCCCCAAACACGCGAAAGCACCACCTAAAAGCCCCAAAAGAGCAACAAAATCGACAACCAAGCAATTCTGGTGGGGGCCACACCACCGGGCTGGTTTGGACTGGACTGGACCCGGGGCTGTGCGCAGAGACAGGCCGTCTGTCTCTGTCCGTCTCTGTCCGTTGAAGAAGAAGAAGAAGAAGGAGAAGAAGCAGCAGAAGCTATCCGGTATGCCTGTGCTTGTACAGTCCCAGCGGCTCAGAACTTTAGCCCATGTAAGACGGCGTAATAGGGAGTCCCCAGCGATGGGTTTTTTTCTTGGTGAGCCTTTTTTTCGATTTTTTCTTCTTTCCTCCTCCCCGCCGTTCTCTAATTGCCTCTCGACTTCCTTGGTACTTGACCCGTCGATAAACGCAGCTTGTCCTATACGAGCAAAGTGGGAAATTTCAAAACGGATGACGGCGAACTGTGTACGGGGGTGGCGCTGGGACCCGGCACAGAGATGTCGTATAAAGCAATTGAGCGACTAATATGAGGTAAGATTGAACAAAAAAGCAGGCCGTTTCCCGTTTGTCGTCGGTTTTCTTATGTAAGACTGGCAGCCCTATGAAGGCTTGGAAGCTGAACAGTCCGGCTCTGGGAGCCGAGAGTGTCGGGTTCGGGGAGAATAACGATCAAGCTAAGAAGCCAATAATGCGTCCAAGGGGTCGGCAAAGCGGCAAGGTTTGATTCGCAAAATTTAAGCAAAAAAGGGGACCTGGCTTTTAAGACCGAGGTGCCTATCTTCGGCCCGCGACATAGAGTTAGAAGAGCTTCTTGATGCCGGGAGATGGTCGATGCAGGATATTGAACGCCGAATACAATTAATACGAGCGGGGAACAAGCTGCCTGCTTTTCACTTTTCTCAATCAAGGCCCATGGCTCTTGGGTCCAGAAGAGCCGGCTCCAGCCTGATGCAGTGCACAGCCTGGAAACTGGGGAAATGGAGGAGCCAACCGGCCAGTCAGCTTTGTGTGTTTCGAGAGGAGAGGAGTAGCGGGCGGGAAGAAGGGGGGCCATCTGTATGAGACTGCGAGTCTGCTACTGTGAGAGACTCGAGACTTAGAGTGATTGCTCAATGACCCAGTGAGTTGTCCAAGGATTTTGGAAGAATGGATGGATGGATGGATGGACAGGCGACTAACAAGCTTGAGACACCGCCCGCGCTGAACATGAGACTCGGTCGGAAAAAATGGGCTGCCCGGTGGGAATCTCGGAGGGAGGAGCGCACCGTAGATCCTCACCTGCCCAACTACCTTGCCGGGTCACCGAGAGGAAGGTACCTCTCACTTCTCTAAGACTACCAGTGAATCCTTACAGAGACACCCTACAAATACAGAAAAGGAACAGAAACGAGAACGACAAGAAACAAGACATAGAAACGAGACAAGAAAAGGTACGCCGCACCACTGACGACAACAACGACCACCGCCCCTTTCTTTTCCGTTGCATCGCATCTGTGATCTGATCCTGACCTCGTGCCTAGTACAGAATACTTCCCGCCCCCGGCGAACCGGCACGTCTCGTTAAAACATCCCATCTTTCTGAATTGCCGTCTTACCCTGGTGTGTCCCGACTTATACACACGACGTGACGGCCACGGCGTACGCACAGCACTTGACAGACAAACGGCAAGCGAGTCGCTCGCTACCTCGCCTAAGGTAACAAGCCTGCCATAGTTCGACGGCGGACGGGGTGGAGAGGCGGAGCAAGGCCCTCTTAGTCCTTAGCAAGGTACGACGTTACCAAAGACGAACTAGACAGAGGGAACCCGCGCGCCCGCTGGCCAATTTGCGCGCCCGGGGCCATGGCACCGCAGGTGTCCCCCCTCTACCCGTACGCGGTATGCAGTACCTGCACGGGTAGTGTAGACAGTCCATCCTTAGATGGAACCTTTCTAGAAAGAAAATGCTAATGCTAAATAGAAATCCAGACAAGGGACGACGGTGGGTGGGATAGAGAGGAAACACGGAGACCCGACGATTGGGAAGCTTTGATCCCTTTCGGACGGAGCGGAACGCGAGGAACGCACTACACTACCAACTCGAGAAACTTACGCCTTTGCCGCTCTGTACACCACGGAAAAAGGTACCGACGTTGACCAAGACTTGAGGTCGGGGACCCAAGGTATCGCCAATCTATAAACTCCCTTCATCCTCACCCGGGATGCCTGTCCAACAAGCCAACCCCGTCTTGTTTCGGGGGCGACTCAAGCGGACCCTCAGCAGCACAGAAACATGACTTTCGCACCCCGCTCAAGTACGGAGTACTAGAGGACCTACCTACCTTGCATGCCTCTGGAGTCCTGGACTAGGTGCGAATATGCATCTCTCGCCGGCCGGCACTCGGGGGCCCGCGCAAACCAACTCTAAAAGGCCAATGAGTGAGATCATCGTCAACCGCAGTCTCATCTGCCCACAACGCTTCTAATTATGTCTAATCGCACATGGCATGGTTGATCTCCTCCCTCACCCTCAAACATCACTTCAAGTCGTTATAAAACCAAACCAAGCCAAACGTTTCCCGACTTAGCAGCCCCCATCCCTCCCATGTGGCATGAACCACTTACCGCGCTGCCCCCTCCTTACCACGCGACGCACGTGCAGAAATTCCAGGGACGGACGACCAGCTGGGATGTAACTCGCTCCGACACTGATGGGCAAAACAACTACCTTATTTTTGGGCCTGTCAGTGTTTTGGAATAAAATCGAGCAGCAGTTGCCACTGGCCAGCGGCCCCTCTTCGCTGGCTCGCTTTCGCAGATCGGTTTGGTTTCCCTTTGGCCCTTGGAGATTGGGGAGGGGGGGGGGGGGCACACCTTGAATGTCACACACACTTCACTGAGTGAGTATACAACACTCCTCTCAAGTCGGTTGACTCAATATGGAAACATTCCTCGCAGCCCGTTAACTCCGAGATATTCTCACTTTGGCATTGCTTAACTTGCATCTACATCACAGGGACTTTGCAGGGACGCAGAGTGGTCAGAAGGGCGGACAAGGCTTCGTAACCACAGTACGTGGCCCCCCAATCTGCAAGAGAAGGCCGGCCAAATGTCCGGAGATGGAGGACGAATGGAATAGTAGGGGCGCAATTTCAACAACCTCGGGAATTCGCCAACCAACTCTGGGATCCCCGATTCCCACTTTATGGTCCTGACCTAAAGATCTAATGTAGCGGCGTAAATGATGCGTTGTAACTTGTTTCCCGCTCTTTTGGGGGTGCTCTCGGTGCCCATCAATATCATCGGGGGTGGCGCAGAGGGCAGTGCCAAGACATTTTGGAAATCACCAACGGAACACGCGCCAGGATTACTTCTCTTACAGGAACTTAGACCACTCGGTCGAGCCCGTATGAAGTATATCGCTCATCTACATAGTACGTTTCCCAACCTCCCAACCCTGGTTCAATAATGCCATCTCCTCCCTCGGCTTCGTCCAATTCAGTCAATAGCCTAGTTCACCGGTTCTTCGAGCCTTGGTATACAGAGTACCGCGGTTTATACATCATGGTGTGTCGTCACTTACACGGGGCGAGCTAGCCCGTAGTCGTATTTCAACGACGACGCGCCCTGGCTTCATCATCGCCAAGACGTTTCGACTCGACCGTTGCGCGTCGTTGCTGCAAAGTCATCGTTCTTTACGCCGATCCCAGAAGGAAACAAAAATCCGAAATTAGATTTCTTGTTTCTTCACTGGTTTATGGTTATGGTTATTGGAACTTTTTTTTTTTCTTTGCGGTGCAAGTACGCGAACAGGCAGCAGTATTTCCTCCCCGTTACCGAAACTTTATTCTCTCGGTAACGCGGCAATGCGGCCTTGATCGACTGATCGATGTTTATTCTTTGTCATTACTCGGACTCGATAGGTCTCTTTCATCCGGATGCTGAAATGACTGACATTCAGCATTATCCTTGCTATTGTCTTGCGACGGCGCCATAGCAAGATGAGCTACCCGCACAAGCTGCCTTCTTTGGGGACTTGCTGGGCGCCGGAAAACTGTTGGTGAATGGTAAAAAAAAGTTGCGTCGCGTGATCAAAGGCGAGAGGCCCCGAGTCGCCGAACAATTGGATAAATTTATCCATGATCCGAGATAAAAATGACTATGCGCAATGTTGAAGCAATCGCATCACGCAGACTGCCATGCAAGGCTGCCTCGTTTTGTCATGCGAGCACCATTCTGAATTATCGGAACTGTATACTTGCATGTAGAAACACTAAAGCTGTAAAGAGGTCATAAACTTCATTCTCCGTGATATACAGTCGCTATTCGCAAGTTCTTGGAGTTCCCTCTTGGTATGGTAAACTCGGTGAGAGATCGTAAATATTCCCGTCCGGTCCTCCAGGTTCGAATAAAAAAGCCCGCGCCCCGCCAATCACGGAGCCCGGGCCTCTGAACGGCGGGGAGGAGGGGAAAGGACCGCCCCACCATGGAAGAAGCCCGGACCAAGCTCAAGCTCATTTTCCCACCGGAACCTCACCCTAGCCTTTTCGGCCAAACATCCCAGCCGCCCAGGAAAAAAAGACGACCAACAATCTCTCGACGACGTCACACCCCCCGCGACAGAAACCTCGTCGAACAAAGCGGAACTTCCAACTGAAATATCGAGAGGACATTTTCGAATTGGAAACTCAGGTCCTGATAGCGACCCCCTTCCAAAGCAAGACCACAGCGACCGCCCCTACAAACGCCAAGACCACGACCACGATCACGACCACGATACAACTCGGCGGCGCAATGGCGGATAGAGGCTCACACAGAGGCGGCGGCCGAGGCGGAGGCGGAGGAAACTACCGCGGTGGAAGGGGAGGAGGTCGCGGCGGCGGCGGTGGTGGTGGTGATCGAGGCGGTGGCCAGGGTTCGGGCGGCGACCGCGAGAGGCCCAAGAAGGAGAATATCCTCGACTTGTCAAAGTATATGGACAAGCAGATTACTGTCAAGTTCAACGGCGGGCGCGAAGGTGTGTTTTGTTCCTCTTTTTGTTCCTTTCCCCCCCTTCCAACCCCCTCTCTCCCATGATTCTTGCGGAAAGGGGAGGGAGGGGCTGTGTGTGGGAATCATGCCTCTATCGATTGCTAACATTAGGGGGATCACTACAGTCACCGGAACGTTGAAGGGATACGATGCGCTGATGAACCTGGTGCTGGATGAGGTCCAGGAAGTCATGAGAGGTACGTGTGTCTGCTCTTTTGCTTAGCCTCGGGGGTTTTTTTTATAAACCAAGTGCAAACCAGAGGGGGAGGGAGGGAGGGAGGGAGCTCTCAATGTGCATCGCGGCTAACCAGAATGTGGAACAAAATAGACGAAGAAGGAAACGAAACGACCAGGTCCCTAGGCCTCATCGTCGCCCGCGGAACTCTCCTCGTCCTCGTCAGCCCCGTCGACGGAAGCGAGCCCATAGCGAACCCGTTTGCGCAGCCCGAGGAGGAATGAACGAATGAATCCAAGAGGGGGGAAGAAGTCACGGGAGTCACTGGGGGGGGGGGGGTGAATTCGACTTGATATCCTGAGGTACTGTGTGTAAGAGGACCGAGAACTCATCAACAGGGTAAGGATATGTGCTCTACGAGATGAGGATAGGGGCAGGGACGGCAATGCGCGACTTTGCTGGATGTATGGCGAACGCGAGACATTGACGTTTCTTGCGTGTTGTATGCGTACATCAGCAGGAGGACATGAATATGATGATGGCATATCAAAAATCCCCCGAATAGAAAAACCAAGAAAGGGGGGCGTTGGGAAAAGAGGTATGGCGCAAGTATCATGACGGCGGGAAGAGCAGCATGAGTGAGGGCTTTGCGGATCCCCTGCCACACCTTATGGTGCACGAAAAAGACATGAATGAAAAAGAGATTTATTTCGTTACTGTTCTTTGCCCGCGTTCGTACTCTCCCATCCAACTGAATCCTCCACAGTCAGCGAAACCGCTCACTCTCCCTTTTTCTATTCCTTCTCTCTTCCTCCCGCTATTCCACCCGCCCCGAAGGCTCCTATACGCTCCTCTTATACGTTCGAACCAGGCAAGCAAGCGATGAACACATTGCGTCCGCCCATCGTCTTATGCGCCGTTTCAGCCGTTCGTTCATCCGTAGTCCAACGTCTCAAAACCAACGTGAGGTCAGTCATCACACTCCGTAGTGGTTTCTCGCATCGTTCGAAACGCAGCCCTGTGCATTGCAATCCAAATACGTCGAAGCCTCGTTCCCCGTCCTTTCATGACCGTGATCTCGATCCGTGTCGTAACCGTGGCAATCCCAGCCCTCCCCGTTCTAGTGAGAGGTGCCTTGGAACCCTCGGTTCGACGTCTGTTTTCCTGCCTTGAGGAGCTCCCCGAAAGCATTCCCGAGCTGCTTCTTCAGCTCCTTATAGCTGACGACAAAGCTCGTCTGCTCGTCTCGACTCGTAAGACAGATTCGGTCGTCGCTACCGGCGTCCAGCCTGTTCAAGCATCGGATAATGTGACCCATGTCCACCACAGGGTTTCCGTTCGCGTCGACCTGATGAAATACGTAGTCCCGGAATAGTTTGAGCATGTATCGCTCGCCGTTTTCTGACCAGTTCCTATCGCCGTCGAATTCCTGCCGTTCGTTGACGGCACCAAGCTTGGCCATGAGGCGCACTATGCGGCCGTTTTCTAGTTCGCGGAACAGGTCCGACTTCAGAGCATCCGCTTCCTGCAAGCTGGCATCCAGCGTGGCAACCATATGGACCGCGATGCCCTGGACAAATTCTTCTATACCTTTGGGCGTGGCACCAACCTGAGAGGGAGTCAGAAGCCACAAGACGGTATCCGTGATTTCTTTCGAGTAAACCCTGCTCATCTGTTCCATTGACCCTTTAAGGTTCGTGAGCTGGTTCGGCGGTGTGTTAGTAGCCAGTGATAGAATGAGTTTCCCAAATTGAATCAAGTCCTCTTGCTGCAGCTCCTGAATTGGGCGACGATTGTCGAACTGAACAACATCCAAGATGGAGCAGGCACTAAGCCGAATGCGATTCTTGTCCGTCACAATGACCTTGCTCATATCAAGGCATCTCGCAGCCAGATTCAATGTGTGGATAGCCTTCAAGGCATTGGCTATCTGGGAAATATAGCCCCACAGGACGCTTTCGGCTATGGGGTTCTTTGCGCTGAAGCGAGTTCCATGGGTGGAAGCCGGTTGAGAAAAGTGAAGTTCGGCGAGTGTTTTGGAGAGGGGATGGTAGTCTTGTACGAAGAATAGGGAACTGTCGCCAAATGCTCGAGTGGTGAAGGCATCGTGGATGCCCACAACGTTACCGTTGTTGAGCCTTCGCCACTCCTTGACAGAGCGAATAGCTTGCTCGTTGGTTAGTCGGTAACCTGTTTTGCGTTAGTAATGTTGAGGAAGGGCATTGCTGTAGAGCATACCCTCAAGCCGTCTGAGGCAGTATGTTTTGCCGTTCTTCGAGGATGTAGCCTTGTACACCCATGTAGTGTAACCAAAGACGCTGGAACTCTTCCGATGGCTGGTGTCAAGGGGAACGAGGGAGTAGTAGTTGTCTAATGGAGGTAGTGTCGAGTCTGTAGCAGCATTAGACATCTGTGGCACCTGATGTTCATTGTGTAGCTTACTCGGCATGACCTGCTGCAAGGCCTCGGACTTGCGTTGCATCTCCTCGCGCAACTTCTCAGGTAGGAAGAAGTCGTGAATTTGCCTTTGGAATGGCATTAAATCATCTCTATACGGCCCAACGGGCGCGTACAAATGGTATTGAAGCTACCAGACATCAGTTTTGGCATGGAAAACAACTGGTTCGCGTCCTCTCACCGGTTGAAGCGGGGCTGTGTAAGCATTTTGATGTTGGAAGTAGGCCCCTGAACCAGCGAGTCCGGTAGGATCATCGGCATAAGGGTTGAAGGGTGTGGCCGGTAATGTCTGGGCAACATTGGGCATAGCAAAGGGGTCAAATGAGAGCCCTGTCTCGGAAGCTGAGCCATTGGCAGTAATCTGCTTCGATGTTAGTCTCAAATAATTTGTGATGCATAGTCATACATACACCAGTACTCAACTCAAAGTTTGAAGGGGTGAATTCTCGAAATGTAGCAGGGTTAAATACTGTTGACGCAGCTTCTCCATCTGGAGCGGCGGCTGGCGTTGCAGCTGTGAAGAAATTAGATGAGGTAGTCCGAGATACAATGTGGCTCAGAACATACAGCCTGCTCCTCTAGGAGTAAAAACGGCTGCACTCGCAGCCTGAGAGGAAAATGTCGATTTCTTTGAGCCCCCTATCGTATTTGCACTCGGTGATGCCACCGAGGGCAGACCGGCGGGTGTGAATGAAGGCGAGTCGACATTGAGGGCCTTTCTCGCACTATAAAACCCCAACTGTTAGCTTTCTGCTATTGTTGCTTGTCGTGAAGTTTGATTGTTTGCCATCATCGTCAATGCTTGCTCTGCACGTTAGTGGTCTACACCTTCTCCTCCATGGCGCTGTCCAAATCTCATTCACATTTCTGCGACCACGGCCTTGGTCCACATCGACCATAAGGTGACTAGTCCGAGTTCCACCAAGATCTTGCTGCATATCGCGATGTAGGCCCGAGCCGATCGGGGGGACTTCATTTAGGACTGCGATTTAACGGTCCAACCCCTCTTTCTATGCGACGTATGTCTCATTGACGAGATATTTAGTCCGCCACAAGGCTCGCCTGACACACGTATCGCCGGAGTTTAGCAGCGCCGCTGATCCCATGCCAAGGCCTCTACAACCGAGGCGTCTCCTTTCCCCCCAGCAGAAGAGCGTCAAGTCTCGATGTCGAATATTGGCAGTTCTCGAGCATTTTGGACGGGTCGTTGGGCCATGGAAGTCGGTCACGATAGCGAAACGGATGTGGACTGTGACCTACAAATCAGACTGGTTACTCTGTCCTCCGGGACTATTCTGGACCGAGTTGGATCGATTCTGGTCGTGGTTGAAGGCGCAACCGGTGTTCTCGTATCGGCAGTGTCCGTATATCATCACGTTTCGGCATAAGGTTTCTTTGTTTTCTAAGCCAATTGACAAGGCGTCAGCAATCCTGTGACGGTAACGTGGTCGGAAGGGCGTCATGCGCGTTGACTCGCCTCGGATTTTGGGTTTCGGCGACCCAACTTGTCGACGGAGGTCGGACTGGGGGTATCGCGAGGTGGCCATGATCAGTAGTTTCGGTGGAAGAAAGTTTCGCCCCCTTGGTCGACGTTACGACGTCTGCACAGAGTCAGCCAAATCCAAAGCCCATGATCGAGTTGTCGTCGAGGTCGTTTTCATGGTTTGGACGCGCGCGCGCTGGGTGTGGACGGGGGGGGGGGGGGGATTCAGGACTTGGGCTGTCTGAGCGGGGTGGAGAGAAGACAAAGGCGGGCAAAGAAGAAGGACTGGAGCTCGCGTGGGGCCTGGCGCGAAGCCGGACTGGGGGGGGAGAGAGGACATTTTTGGGCAGACGCACTTGATCCTTGCAGACATTTGCCATGGCTCGAACACGTTTGGTGGGGTAGGTGTCTCGATCATGGACACGATGCCGTGCACCAGGCGAGGGTCGAGGTTGACAGCAGATCAATTTGGCGGATGATGCAAGGCGACGGAATGAAGTCGGAATAAGGTCGAGTTGAGATAGCACCTTAGGTAAGGCGAGGTAGAAAGTAAAGCACCGATGCGCGCACCGTATCTTTACTTGGAAGGATGCGTACGGATATGCAGCCCAGCGCAGGAAAGGTGGGAGGGACCAGGAAGGACAGAGGGAAAAACAGGGACCAGCGACAACGGTGCGACGGGCGGCGGAACAGTCCAGTGAGGTAAGGTAGGCGGTTTATGTGGGTAAAGAAGGCAGAGAGGTCAGATTTGCTACCGCGCGGCCAGGAAATACCCAAACCTACACAGGAGCGGGAGTTGGCGGTGCGAGCGGAGGATCGGTCGGCGGTAATGAAACCAACCAAGTCGAACCAACTTATTGCGTAGGTTGGGTCCAGCAGCACTGGGAGGGAGAGACGATGACACACGCGACATGAAAATCGCTAAAAGTCAATGCTCTACACAGTAGCAATACTAATCGACAGTCATGGTGGATAATCGCGTTGGATTTGGCCGTGAAAGTATGTCATTTCCACAATATCCGAGCGATAATAATATCAAGGTTGGACTGGCCTTCACTTGGTACATAACGAGGTGGATGTCACTAGCTCATGAGCTCATATGCATTGTAGGAATGCTGAAATACTTCCGGATATATGTCGATATTTAATGTGGGAATAATAGCCGTATTTTCACTCACGTCCCATCTACCATTTTACATCTATGGGGAATACTTGTGTCTATTGAATATGCTGATGATGTTGAAGATTACTGCACTTCCCGTCCTCACAGTATTTGTAGCTTAGGGAAGATCCTGTAGGTGTCCGAACACCATTTGCAGGCATCTAGAACATCGCAGCGGAGCT